ATCTACTCAAGTTAATTTTAATGAAAATACACAAAAATTTACAGGAAATAAAAATATATTTTTTGTGCAAAAATAAAACACTTTTTTTTAGAGTTGAAAGTAAAGAAGAGAATGGAATTATAATTTTCAGTCAAATATTTAATATTTTATTTGGCATAACCATAGAGATAGGATCATGGAAATACTAGCTTTATTTATAGTTTTATAAAAGCAAAAATTTTTTAAAACAAAATCTGCTAATATTTCCTATGTAATAATTTATATAATTTATATGTAATCTTTTCAGATTTTTTTTTCATGCCAAGCGCCGTCTATATCTCTATTATGAATATATTTTTTGTATATTTGGAAATTCAATTTTCTCTTCTATATAAAGGGTATTACGTGGCAAGCGAGTATATAATGAGATTCTCATGAAACTCTCATAACTTTTAGATTGACGCATAACCAAAAAGGAATTCATGTATTTCGCCTTAAGCTCGAAAAAATAGCAAAAATGCTGCCAGAGATAAGCTGCATAACAAATTAGCCCTAAAAAAAAGCTATAAAAACCGCTAAAAAATGAGAAACGCTCGCTCATACGAGAACTAAAATATTTAACACCTCATGCCAGCAGCTGGAGAGTAAAGTAAAGGAGAATGTCTATGTGGGTGTGTGAATGTGTGAGTATGTGTGAGTGTGAATGCATGTGTGAGTGTCAGGCAGGCAGCAGGTGCAGTGGTAAATTGTTAATGTCAAGTGTCATCAAATTAAACATTTTACAACGCAAATAAACACACACACACACACAGGGACACACACATGCACACACACGTCTGCATTTTTAAGCGCATACACCCACACATCCGCAGTTGATTGCGCCTCGAAGTATGCAGCAATTTCTTTCCATTTGCTTCGGCTTAATCGAACGGAAATGCTTCTGACTTTAGCCCAGTGCAAAACAAAAGCTAATTCAGCTAAGAATATTTAGACTCATTCACGAAAGTGAAATGAGTATATTGGTTTTGTGCAATGTCCGTCTTGCTGTCCGTCCGTCTGTCCGTCTGTCCGTCTGTCCGTCTGTCCGTCTGTCCGTATGAACGCAATCTATTTCGGCGCTATTGAAGCTAGAGACTTGAAATTTGGAACACATACTCGTGTATATCTCCGATTTATAAAGTGTTNCCAGAAATCAATCGAAATTCTAAGAATGTGAGAAAAGGCGCGCTTCTGTCTGTACGCATAGAATAGACGATGAGTGTGTGCACATGTATAGTAAAATCGCGCTGATCTGCTGCTAGCTTGAAGCCGGTATCCAATATATGGATATAAATACATGTATATTATTAAAAGTCAAAATTGTATAAATTATATACATATGCATGTAATTTGAATGCAATTATGCAATGATCATAGCAATAGCTATCGATGATTTTCCCATTTTAAATGGGATCATGCCCTGTTTTTTGTTGCGCACTAGACTTGAAAATTGCACTATATACTCTGGTTGACAGCGTTTGGGCTGTGAATGAGTCTTCTGCAATCGGTATCGCCCGACTGCAACGTTCTTACTTGTTGTTATTTGATTTTATTGTTGAACACAATTTTCACACGAAATTCTCAATTCGTGGAATTCATGTCAGAGTGAAGAGCGGAAGAGAATTGATGGGTGAAGGAGCACAAGCCAAGTTACCTCAACGACCACAGCAACAATCCAACTATATATAGCAGCCATATAGTCACCTGTGTGTGTGTGAGTGTGTGTGTGTGCAGGTGTGAGCTAGAAACTTTAATGAACTTGCCAGCACTGTGGCACAATTGTCAATTGTTAGCGTTATCAGACATTTTGAGAGCATAAATACAGGACTAAGTGGAGGTACAGTAAACAGGCAATACAAAGACTGGATGTAGAAATGTTAGTTTGACAGTAAGTTAAAGTAGATTGAAGTTGACAGCATTGTAGTTTTAATATGTTTATGAGATGATATATAAACGAGAAGACAGTCGTATCGTTAGAGAACTGTGCTTAATCTAACTTTAGCTGAGGCTCTAATTCAGCTTGTTTTAAAATCTAAATTATTATTGAAAATACAAAAAAAATGTTTCAATATGAAATTATAAATAAATCATATCAAATCGTGTTAAATATAGCTAAATTACCATTTGAAAATTCCCAAACTTGATTTTTAGAATTATTCAGCTAATTGTTCCTCTTGCCGGGAGTTCACTGTGTACTCGCTTCAATCAATGTTCAATTTCGCGAGTGCTCACTGTACCACATAGAGTGCATTCAACTATGGCAAATAATCTGCTATCAAATGTACTTTGCTTTTTCTCTCCCTCTACCTATCTGATTCTCCCCTCTCTCTCTCCCTTTCTCTTTTGCCATTGCCTTTTTGCCCAACTGTCTGTCAGACTCAATAACACGAACTGCAGTTTCCCTCCTTCCTTCATTCAAGTGAAATCTGTCTGTCTGTCTCTCTGTCGCTTCTATATCTAGCTATCCATTTGGTCGCAGTCAGGTTGCTCGTCTGTTTCTCTGCTCGCCCTGTCAGGCCCGGCTCAATCACACAGTTTTTTGACGCGTTTCCATTTGTAGCTGTCGCATTAGTAAACACACACACGCACACACACATAGACCTATACACACTTGGCAGTGTATTAATTATTCAGTTTTTAATATTTAATGGGAATTTTTGGGCTATATTGCTGCATTTTTTCCTTTCAATTTCCATTTGCCTTTTGACAATGACAGTGCGAAATGAGTTGGCCAAGAGGGTATATTGGCTTTGTTTAAACTATGCCTATCTTTGTTGAGGTGAACCGCTAGATCCGCATATATTAGTTTTTGAATGAATATAACTGTAAACGTAAACGTGTAGTCAGATACACCCGTCTGTAATACTCTTAGTTCTAACTATTAACATTGTCAAGTGACAAAAGGGATCTACCTACCTTTATCTCTCTTTTTTTTTTACTAAATTTTTCTTTATCTTTTTTTGTAAATTTTCCTCGCTCTTTTTTTCACAAAATTTTTCTCTATCTTTCTCTCTCTTTTTATGTTGCAGTTAAATACACTCAGAGAATAAACTTGCTAAGTTTTATTGCCATTCTGTATTTCATCAACGTTTTTTACGTTCTTAATAAAATTTGAAGCAAAAGAACTCTAACTGCCTTAAATAATTTGTGATGAAAAACTATGTAACAAATAGCAACCAATTTTAAAGTAGAGAGCTCTACACTGTGATCTTAAAGCAAGCTCGTTTTAATAACAACTTTTTAAAAATAAATAAAAGTAAATATAAAATAAAGTAAATAAATGATAGAAACGCTTTGCGCTACTTTAATTTACTTTCTCTAAAATTATTATTACAAAAGCAAATGGAAGAAAAATAGAACGTACAAACTAAATATTTTCTCTCCGTGTATCACGTGCGTATTACGCAATTTTCTTTACTCTCAAACCGACTGCAAATGTTGTTCGAGTTGGCAAAGCTTTGTCAGAGCCAATTGAATTGAGTTGGAATCAAAACATTTGCGTAACAATTTTGGCAGCTGCAGCATGGACCAACCCAGCCTTAGCCATTATTCAGCTTCCTCTTTCCCTCCGCCTTCCCCTTCCGGCTTGCAAATGTGTGCGACTGTTGTTGTTAGCGCAAATGTTGCAAAAGTCAGAACAAGCTGCAAGCTCAACTGCAGATACGCAACTACAGATACAGATACAGATACAGCGACAGATATATGCATATAGTAGATACAGATACATTTGCAGATACGTAAGCACCCCCTCCTACGAAAGTTTTCAAAACGAAAATCAATATCGAATAGGGGCTAAGCGTTAGAGCCTCCATACACACATACATACATACATACATACATATAAATAAGTAAATATATACACATACATATATACACTTGTAACTGCAGCAGTTAGAACCCTACCCCCGCCCCCTCCCACAGCGACCCCCTTCGCCGTGCCGATTGTAAATGTCATGCTGTTGCATATTTAACGCGTTTACGAAGCCATCCAACAACAAGATACAACTACAATCCGTTGGCGGGCGGTGGGGGGCGTGTCAACGTGTTTAATGTGCAAATCACGCTTTGAATGGCAATACCTGAACAAGCGAAAGACATGCGAAATTCTATGAAACCGAATTGAAAGGATATGCAACGAGCACTCGCAAGGAGCATTGGAGGAAACAAAAACTGTGCAACACTTAACGGGCAGACATGGCTTGAACAAAGGCATAAACCAGGGGGCCTAGAGGGAGGGGAGGCGCAAGCTTTAGTAGAGAAATAACAGCATTTGACACTAAATAAATGGGATTTGAACCAGCAATTCTATTGCAATGGACTTTGGAGCACCAAGAATTCGAAGAATCTAAGAGTTAATGGATCAAATACAGCCAGAAAGTGGGGCGTGGCTAATCTCATTTATATTACTAGTCGATTCGATCTAGCCCTTCCAGTCTGTCTGTCCATATCCTTACATAGGTCAAACTGAGCTGAATTCAAATAATGAAAATTAAATTAAATAGAAAAAAATTTTTTTTAAATTAATTAAAATTTATTTTCGTTGATAGTCGAACTCTCTAACCTTTGTACCTCTCAAATAACCCAACCAAATAATTAACTTTGAAGTAACTCAATAGCAAACTCTTTAACCGAATAAAGATATTCCATTAGGTCTTCAGATATATAAGAAATATCAGATCTGTAACAAAATCTATAATTATAGATTATATAAGATCTTAAACTAAAGACTATAGAAGCAGCAATTAGATAATATGAAATTTATAATATTCTAGGAGAGCTAACAATACAGAAATTCTTATTAAATATAAAAATTAAAATATTCCACAAGATCTCTGAATACTGCATAGCCCCATTATATCCCTAATAAGACAATATTCAAATCAATCAGATAATGAGATTTACATAACTATATTATTAAATAACTCTTCAATGGCCAAACATCCCATGAGATCTGCATAGAAAACAAACAAATTTGAGTATTATCATTTCTTCAGCATATTTAATTTCTCATCAAGCGCGTCCATTTCAATGGGGTTTACAAGTTACATGTGGTAATATTCATATAAAGCCTCCATTCGAAACAATATCCTAAAACAAGTTTAACTAAATTAAAACTAAAATTGGGCTTTAACTTTATCTCTTGGAATTGGATGGATAACGGCGTCTATGACTAACCTATGGACTAGGCAGAAACCAATGCAAGGAACTCTTCCACAATCTCCTGCTCACTCTCACTCTCTCTCTCTCCATCTTTATCTCTCTATTGACTGCCTCTCTCGGTCTTCCTTTTGTATTAGGTGCTGCTTGAGTTGGAGCTGATGCTCTGCAACGAGCTATTGGATGCAGATTTCCTTAGAGCCTCGCCGGCTAGACCACACAGATTCTGGACAAGTGTCGCTGAGGATCGTGACACATCCGGAGAGCACTTGGCATTGGCATTGGAGCTGGAGTTGGAGTTGGAGTTGGCCAAGCTATGGCGCAACGGTTGCGGCGATGTTGGATTGGATAGCCCGGATTCGTGTATGGGCGACAAAGTGGGCGATCGAGTGCGCAGGAAATGTTTTCTACGCTGTCGCCTGTACACATTGCCCAGACTTGGCAGCTGGCGACTGTTGGAGCCGGCAGCTCCATGAGTTCCGCTCGAGACGAAGCCCAGGGTCTCGGCCAGCTCAGCCAACTCGCTGGGATTGGGCATCTTGCGACGCGTGGGCGGCGGCAAGGCAGGCGGCAGGGTCAGTGTGTAGCTGGTGGTGACACTATCGTCCCGGATCACGCTGGTGGGCAGCAGCATCACCTCCTTGTTGCCAGTGCTGTTGCTGATGCTGCTCAGATCGCTGCTGCTGCTGGCGCTGTGGCTGGGCGAGCTCATGGGCGGCGGTGGCGTCGCTTGCGTCATGCTCGTGCCACTGTCATAGCCTCGATCCGGCTGCAGTTGCAGTGGACGTATTTGATTCTGCTTAATGGTGGCCACCTGCTGCTCGGCCACGCCCACGCCGTGGCCATGGCCACGCTGGCAGCGTGCGCGTCGATAGCGTCCGAGCAGACGCAGCATGTGGCGCAACCGGGAGCTGCGCGTCGTCTTCAGTGTGGGCAGCTCAGTGGGCGTGGCAGTTGGCAGCATTCCGCCGCCCGGGCCCTGTGGCATCTCCAGGCCACCATTCAGACTTCTGATGAACTGCACCGGCAGCTCGCTGGCATTCATTTTGCTGGCCGAGAGTGCGGCCAGCAAATCATTGGGCACATCCGGACTGTCTGGCACGCTGGCACAGCAGTTCCATTTTCGTCGCCAGCGCTGATGCTTCGATATATTCCCTGCTGCCGACGCCGTCGATGTGGGCGTGGCCGTTTGGCTAGCCAAGGTGCGAGTGCTGCTGCTGCTGCGCCCGGCGCTATTGCTGTTGCTGTTGCTCTGGCTGCCGCGCAGCGGACTGCGCAGCTGAAAGGTGCAGAGGGTGCACTGCTCTGTGTATTGCAGATACGATGCAGCTGCTCCTGCACTCGATCTCAGTGGACGCTGGCGTGGCTCCAGCGCCGCCTTGGCACTCGCTGCGGCGCTCACCCTGCGCTGCATCGAGGCAGCCGCATAGCTGGAGCAGCAGTGAAAGGAACGTAGCGGAGCTGCCTCGGTGTCCAGATCCAATTGCAGTCGATCGCTGCGACGCTCCTGCAGCAAGGAGCACAAATAGATGGATTGGCTGGCCTGATGGAACTCCCGCGAGCTGGCACAGCAATGCAACGCAGCGCCAGTAGTTATCTGCTCGTGCTGCTGATTCGGATGCGGCACATTGGAGCAGCAATAGAGCTTGGACGGATGCTGGTGTTGTTGCTGCTGATGATGGTGCAGTGTGGGCAGATTGGGATTGAAATGGACACCGTTCTTGCCCTGCTCGAGCAACTGCTTAGCCTTTGCCTCCTGCGCCTGCCGATGATTCCGGATGTACTCGTACGTCGTCAGGCCCAGGAACGAGATGTAAATGTGAAAGAAGCAGAGATGCAGGAGCAGACCAGCACTGATTGCTGCCAGCAGACCGAGCACGCCCAGCAGCAGCAAGTAGATCGTCTCATGGACACCGATGCCGGCGACCAGAGGTGTTACTGTATGATTCAGAAGCTGTGGCTTCTGCTCCGGCTGCAACGTGCTCTGCTCCAGCAGAGCCGTAAAGTTTTGCAGCAGCGTGGGCATGGTGGAGACTGTGAGATTGTTGAGATCCTGCTCCTGCGACTGATCCATCTGTTGATCCTGTTCCATCAGCATCATGGTGCCGTTGCTCAAGCTCAGCGTTAAATTGATATAATCTGTTGACTCCAGGGGCAATTCCATTTGATTGCTGCACCAATAGAAGCTCAGCCAATCCGGCTGCACGTAGTAGAGCACGATCTGCCCCACAACGGCAGCCACAATGACCAGCGTGGCCACCACAGCACTGACGACGCACATTAGAAAGGCGACATAGTTCCGGGAGCCGATGCAATGATTCAGCCACTTGCAGTGATGATCGAATTTACCCACGCACTTGTTGCACACCGAACAGTGTTTGGTCCTGGGCGACGATGTCTTTATGTTGCACAGATGACAGCGTCCGTTCTCGATGACATGGCCGTGTTTACTGCGATCAAACTCGGGCACAATGCGATCGTTGCGATGCACGCGTCGCAGCTCCTTGTCAGCGGGATCGGTCAACAGTGCAGTCAAATGGGCCACAATATGCACCACATACAGGCCGGAGATCAGGCCATAGAGTGGCCCTTGGATGGGCGCATGAAAGGCGGGTATCAGTATCCAATAGCTGGCCAAGCCGAACAGGAGTAACACGAGCCAACCGAATAGCTGCAGTGGATGCAACGGCAGCTGGAGTCCATGTAAGCGTCGGCCACGTCTATGTTGGACATCAGCTATATTATTCTGATAGCTAATCAGTTGACAGAGGACGGAGTTGTTAGTTGGTGCAGGATTCGCAGCAACTCCTGATGCTGCAGCTGCTCCAGCGGCTGCAGTTTGTCCACTTGCAGTGGTTGCTGTTGCTGCTGCTGCTGTTGCAGGTGTTGCTGTAGTTGCTGTTGCTTGTTGTGCGTAGTGCTTGATGGGCGGCTCCTGTTGTTCTGTAAGGCTGGCAGTGCTGATGGTTATTATGTGATCCTGCCGCTCCTTCTGCTGCTGCTGCTGCTCTGCTAATGGCGTCGCTTTGGCAGCGTTTCGCATGTTGTTAAAGATGATGAAAATGTGTTGGATGATTGAATGATGTGAAATGTTAACAACAACTGGCACATTACAAATGTTGTTGCTGTTATTGTTGCTGCTTCTGCTGTTGCTGCTGCTGCCACGCCCACACTGGCGCCTATTTATATAAGCCACATGCAATTATCCTGCGCGTTGTGCACTTCATTCAATGTTATTAACTTTTGGTTATGTTCACTATTGTTTACCGTTGGCTTTTTTGTTCAATGTCTGTGTGCTTGTGTGTGTGTGTGTATGTGTGTGTAAAGCAATGGCGCAGTTAATAATCACGCATAAAAACACGTTTACAAGGGGGTGGTGCTTCTAGGGTTGTCTGTTGTCAGGCTGCCACCCCCATACACCAAGGACTCTTGCTGAATGATTATCCTTTTGTTGTTTATTTTATTTTTACTTTTTATTGTACTACTACTACTTTTTAACGTATTTGTTTTGGGCTAGCCACACAACACACAAATACAACCACAGACACAGACACACTAGCAATATGGGCGCACACACGCTCTCACGCACACGCACGCAGAGCAATCAGAACGAAGAGAGCGGAGTGAAAGATAGAGTGAGAGCTGTAAAGTAGCTGGTAGTAAAACCGAAAACGCAACGCAACGCAACGTAACGCAACGCAACGATTAAGACGTACCAACTCGCTAGACGGACGCGAAGCAACTGAGCTGTGTTATGTGCGCAAAGCTTTGCTAAAGGCTGCAATTGAAAGCACACGATGCGGCGAGGCGAAACCGAAGCCGAAAAACAGTTTGAAGTTGAAAGCGAATTGAAAGTGTGCGCTCCAAGCTTTGAGCAATTGAAAGCAGCCATCGTATGTATGTTTGTTTGGATGGGTGGCTGGGAGATGTCAACGGTAATAGAGTCAGAGAGCGAGAGAGAAAGAGAGCGACATGTCACAGCTGTCTGGTTGCCGGCAAAGCGTTTTTTCGACTTAAAGACAGGCCAGGGACGACTGCACACAAACACACATAAACGAACTATCTCGATATTTGTTTGTAGGTGTGGGTGTGTGTATGTTTATGATTGTGTTGGGCATTGCTTTGAGGGTAGATTTTACAGTGTGTGTGTGAAAGTTAGTGTGGGTGGCTGCTCATATTTTGGAGATGACCGCGTGAGTGTTAAACAATTTGGAGTAAGTGTGAGTGAAATGGTGAGTCCTTTAGTTAAACTAATATAGAATTATAGTAAATAAGACCTAGTTTTTCAATAAATTGTGTTCTGATAAGCTCAACTTTGACTCAGCTTTGAAGTTTCATTTATAAGCTATTATTCTCTATTACCATTAACTTAAATCTTTTGTAATTAATATAATTATACTGTAACTTTTTCGTTTACTTTTGGCCTATATACAAAATATACGCCAAAAAAGTTACGAATAGATGACTTTAAAAATTACATACGATATATATTGAAAACCACTCACGACTCACGCGCACAGTTCTGATTCACCTGCCAACAGGAAGTAACTATTATATAACGGTAAATGGGTCAGGCTAGGCAAGAACTTATCACCACAGATTGGCACGCACCTATGTTATGTTACTTTTTTTATATTTTCTCCTTTTTTAGGATGCTAGGCATCATTTTTTATTTATATCAACGCCGCCCAGGTGCGGAGTGGAAAGAGGCGACGCCGTTTTCGACTGTTTGTTGAAATGGAAAGGCACAGACGAGAGCGTATTTGGAGCAAGTACACTTAGTACTTGATGTGATTTTATTTTCCATGACAGCCGTGAGTAGAATTTCTCACACACACACATATAGAGATAAACTTATCGACGACCCACTCACTCAAAGACCGTCAGACAGTCGAAGCTATTTGGCAAATATTTATGCTGATGCTGAAACTCTCTGTAAAACAGGCACTTATATAAGATATAAATTATATAAGATATATACATATAAATACACATATATATGTACATATATATTTGTCTGTATATGTCTGTATATGTACATATATATTTGTCTGTATGTTTAAAAAAATGCCCATTGTTTGGCGTCTTAGAACAATTCCAAATCAAGCGAGTCTAATGGCTGGCAGGACCAAATCGTAAAATTTTTATGCAAATTACCAATACAAGCGCACATACTGACACACACATACGCAAGCTCAACATTATGTATCAATAAAAGAAACGAAAAATAAACAACTTTGTTTATATCATAAAAAGGAATTTGTGGTATTTCAGAGAGAATCTTATACAGTTGTTGCTGTTATACAGTGGCATACAATTATTGAATAATTTTCTATTCAATACTAATTTCATATTATCTTATCTGAACAAATACACACATCAAAAAAATGGAAACAGTTTTTTTTAAAAATTAGTGCTCAGATTAAAAAAAAAAAAAAATAATTGAAATCGTAGAGAACAAATTATTAAAATTATAAAATATTATAAATAAAAAGAAAACTCGATCAGCTTCTGATTCCTTATGGCTTATATTTAATTTCAATGAAGCAGCAATATTATAAAATCAAAAACAACAAAGAAAGGAGCAATATACAAAATCTTTTATATAGCAAAATTTTATTGAATTATGGTTGAATGAAATTGTATTCTTTGTAGCTTTTTTTTTTCAATGTGCGACCCTAGGCAACGATAATAACAAGAACAATGACAAACACGAGTGAGAGAGAGAGAAAGAGGGAGAGCGGTAGCGCACTCAAGTGAAGTGACAACAACGAAAGCTTTGATAAGCAAGAAGAAGAAGAAGCGCCACAAGCCAAACAACAGAAAACAACAATAAACAAACAAAACGGTAAAAGTAACAAGTAAAAAGGACTAACGGAAGCTGTTAGTTTGCTGAGAGCAGAGAGAGCAAGTCACTGAGAGAGTGAGAGCAAATGAAAGCTCGCACAGTAGGCTTAGCCCAGAGATTCAAGCTATAAAATAGGCACTCAGACTAAATTTATAATTTAGTTCAGTTCAATTTTGTTCTTTGTTTATTAAGAATGTTATTCCATCGCAAAAAATAAATAAAATCAAACTAAATATTTCTACTTATATCTACACAACAACACAACGTTTCTTTCGAATGAATTTCTGCACGAATCGATATACTACAAAATTCCATTGGTCCTAAAATTTGGCCACTTGTATTAGCGTTTGTCTGACATAGTGCAATATATACATACATACAGATATATGTATGTACACTGTAAGCAATCATGATTGATATATTATCATTGCCTCGGCGGAACAATGTGACCAGCCAAATGATGACCAAGCAGCCCAGCTATAAGACTGGGCTGCCCATTAACAGTTTACCCGGTTGGGAGCTAATACCGCTTAACTGTAAATTGCCTATGCTCAAGTGTCCTGGTAATCAGGTGATATTCTCAAAGGATAAAATCGGAAACTCGGTAAGATTTTAATTGAGTGCATATAAATATGTAGAGAAGTGCTGCTCCATAAAACTTCATATATGGTTTGCGTCTTGATTCCAGTTCAAATGTAGCATGCAGGAATTCGATTCATCGGTAACGGTTCATATACCCGAATATAACCCGTTGCACGATTCAAATCTGAAGACCTTCTACTCGAACGAGCGTAATTTGAAACGATTACGCGAGAATGGCGAGATAACCGATAACAATGAAGTGATATGCAATCTAAAGGACTTCAATCAATATCGTGAGGAACTTCATAAGTCGCAGCTCTACTATGTGCTGCAAGCGTATAGGCAAAGGGAGGCAGAAAGACACGATCGCATGTTGATTGCCAATGCGGAGGGCATCTCGCGGAGGGATAACTTACAAACGGGTGTACGTCATCAGAGTCAGGAAGAAGTGATGGCTAGGAAACAACAACTTGAAGAGGAGAAGCATGAAAGAAAAGTGAGAATCTATAATATAACAGAGGAGAAATTCAAAAGAATGGAGAGCATGTTAGCTATGCAGCAGATGCTGCTCGAACATCGCAAAATGTTGACCAATATGCGAGTCCAGGCCCACATCAGTCTGCATCAGGATTTGCAGCGTAAGCACCTGATTAAGCTGAAGAAACTGTTCCAGTTCAAGAAGGATCGATATAACAAGAATATGCGTAATTTGCACAAGCAGCGTTTGACCAAACACACTGAGGGCCAAATACAATCGTGGCATAAACGCCTGCACGAACGTATTGCCAATCAGCGAAGAATCGATCAGCTGCTTAAAGAAGTTAAAGAGGAACGTGAATTATTCATTGAGTCGCACAAGGAGAAATATCGCGAGAAATGGAGACGGATTCAGGAGCAAATCAAGCAGCGTTCCCACAACATGAAGGAAGAGAAGAAATCTAAAGGGCGCAAGAAGAAAAGGAAGAGCAAGAAGAAGAGTAAGGCCGTTGATGCCTCGAAGAAGGCGACGCCTTCATTCTGTGATGAATATCAAGCAAGCTTTGAGGGTCTCCTCGATAGCGAGCTATGCTACGCATTGAATGCAGCTATTGCAATGGGTGGAAATGCTCCGTTGACCTTCGACACCGATGATCCCATCTACAAGGCAGCACAGTACATCCTCAATCACATACTGCTCGGCTTTGATTTGGATTTGAGTGAGGATCCGTGTGCGATGCACGTGCTATCCGAACGCATTGCGAACTTCTTATGCGATGCCAAGAAATATGTAAACTATGTAAGTTGTGTGATAATGCGGTTAATATTCTCCTAAATCTATATCTTCCACCAATTTTTCCTCTCCCACCCTCAGAAAGCCATTCAGATCATTGGCTTTGCCCATGATAACAAGGCCATGGAGCTGCCATCAACACCAACACACAAATCTGGTATGTCTGGCAAGAATCATGCACGTACTTCACATGTCTCGTTCAATGGTATTGCTTGCACCATTGGCGTGGGTAGCTATGAGATACATCCATTTGTGGACGTACGTCCTTGCGGGGATCGTCGGCCCACGCCGGCGGGCTCGTTGACCTCGTTGGTAGTCAGCCAAATTGGGGACCAGGTCATACAGGAGAAGGTGCGCCTGCCGCACCTGAATCGCAAGGAGGTCATCTTCATCGAGCACTATTTGGTCAAGTTCAAGCGGGAGCTGCTCGTTGGCCTCGATAAGCAAGTGTTTGCTGCCATTCAGTGCCACTATGAGAATCGCATTATGGAGGTGCGCGAGGAGCTGCTCGAGCTGGACAAGGACTTCTTGAACAATCAAATATCTGTGGGCATACTCAGTTACGCTGTGAATCCACTTAACTATGAGACGGCTCTAATGCTGGCAGTCAATGTGATTGCGAATCAAGTAATTTGGGGCCTTCAGCAGACGCTGCTTAAGCCGGGCGCCGAGCCTTCGGTCATGCCTCATCCGGTCAGCTGCGGCACCGAACGCGAACGAGAACAACGCGCCCTCTGCACTAACTAGTTAACCACTCTGCCTTTCTCCCTCTCGTTATCCTATTTAATCACTACGAACAGAATCCACAGGTCTACGGACACTCTAGTTCTGTGTGCACATAAATTTTATGTAGAAATAAATATATGTTGTGACTTACCGTGTTGAGCGTATCTCCTCTGCGTTTTTCTGTATTGATATTTAACGCGTAACTGCACTTTGCTTCACAAATTGCGAGAAACTCAGGTTTCTTGTAAACATTAAACAAATTGCAGCATGGCACGCAACAGCTGTGAGTTTGCCAGGGCTGCAATACAATAGGTAATTTGACAGTCACAGGAAACGCAGACAACCGCCTGGTGCGACGATTTTTAAATGAATTCTGCCAGTAATATAATAATACAATGGGTAAACTAATATACACATGCATATTAAACACGTCATAGTAATTATACTTTTCTTGGCATATTCAATATTTATATATACAAGAAATCATTAAAAATTTGTAGCTTAATCACAGATCGAAGTCATCAGCTATGCTGTGCTCCAGGAGTAAATGCTAGCCAAAATCTGACAAAGGAAAATGCTGATTTAATTTCATAATCAATGATTTGATATGATCAAAATTAACTTAAGTTTACACATGCTTTTTCTATTTAATAATAATTTTATGCTTATATCTAAACATATATACAAAGAAAACTTGTATACAAAATTAAAAATTATTTAGGAAAACTAAACTGAGCTCCATATGGATACATTATCGGATTATATGGTGCACCAGGAGCCAGCAACGGAAAAGGATATGCTGCGGGACCAGTTGGCAAGTTCTTAGAAGATTGCTTGGAGCTGCGTTTTCTTTTGATTTTAGTTGCTGGCTTGGCCTCAGCGCTGGAATCACTTGATTCTGTGTCAGTGGGATCTGCTTCTTCTAACTCATCCTCATCATCCTCGTCATCGTCGTCGTCATCCTCATCGTCGCTTTGCTTTGCCTCTATTTTGATTTTCTTCTTAGGCATTTTCTTTGCCTTTTTATTCAGAGTTCGTTTATCCTTTTTAGTCTTGTTAACTGTTGGAGTTTGTAGCTGGGCAGCTGGTAACTGTTGAGGTGGCGCTGGGACTACGCTACCAGGAAATGTGAAACGTTTATCCATATTAAAGACGGCCAATTGTTGCATGCTAAACTCCATGAAAGCCTGCAGCGCAATATTCAAATTAGGAGGCTGCGGACAGTTCTTCAAACTGTGATAGGGCGCCGAGCAATTCCTGCAGATCATCTGGCACTCAAATGAAGTGTGCCCCTATGTAAGTAAAGATCTTTAGTATAGTACAGATGCGATATATGATTGACCTACCTTCTTATCGCAAATGCCGCATATGTGAGACGTCTTGTCTTTGCCTTTTTCTTCCGTCTCCACAACTTTGTCCTCCTCATCGGTGCTGGCCTCGGCTTCATCTTCAACCTCATCCTCATCATCATCCTCATCTGGAATTGTGTATTTGCGACTTTCGTTTCCCATACAAACAACATCATCTTCGGATGCACTTTTGTTGGCACTTTTTGGCGATTTCTGTGGAGTATCTTTGACTGATGGTTTTCCCTTAACCGCTGGGTTTTCATCACTTGAATCATCCTCGGACGATGAGGAAGAAGAGGATGATGGCGGTGCTTTAGAAACTGGCTCGGCTTTAACCTTTACTTTGGCGGCTTCAGCTTTATCCTTAACTTTAGCCGCTTCAACTTTAACCTTCACTTTAGCCGCTTCAGTCTTAACAACTGTTGTCTTTTTGACTACCTCACCGGCTTCGACACTTTCATCGGAGCTGCTGGAGGAGCTGTCTTCGCTGCTTTCCGCTGGTTTGGCCGGCGCCTTGACTGACGCCTCTTTCTTTTCCTTCTTGATGTTGGCTGGACTAATGAGAGGCGTTTGATTTATAGCTGCAATTGGTGGAGTTGCAGCAATGGCTGGGGTTGCTGCAATTGCTGGGGGCGCTGCAATTGCTGGGGTTGCTGCAACCACAGGCGTTGCTTCTTTCGTCGGCTCGGCTGTAGGCGTTGCCACTGCTGGTGCTTCTGTAGGAGTCGGAATTTTAGTATTTTCATTTTTGTGTTTTCCATTAGAAAAGTAGAATACATCATTGGGCATTTTGTCCTGGTACCAGGGACTAGACTGATTGCCTCCGTGGTTTTGTTTGTTACGTAAGCCACCTCTACCTCCATCACCTCCGCCGGCTCCACCTCCGCCTCCATCATGTCCATATCGCGTTCTTCTTCCGTCTCTGCCACATCGATCTCCTCTGTGATTGTCCCTTCTTCTGTCTGGACGTCCTCTGCCACCACCTCCACCACCGCCTCCTCCTCCTCCTCCTCCTCCATTACCACGTCCACCTCCTCCACTATGTCTACCTCCTCCACTACGTCCACCTCCTCCTCCACCGCCGCCGCCGCCACCAGCTCTGCCACCTCCACCACCACCACCACCACCACCTCCACCACCACCACCACCACCACCACCGCGACCATTCATTACAGACTGACGAGTCTGAAATTGCTTTTGCGGCTGGTTTTGATCACGAAACTTTTTAAATGAATCGTCGTTGTGTCCTCGACCATGAGCCTCGCGGTTTAAGTTATTCTGGTCGTATCTTTTGTCGCTCCATTGACCAGATTGTTGGTCGCCACTATTATTCATATAATGATAATCGTTATGACCAGAATTATCATGCCAATTGCCACCAGAATTAGGCTCCATGTCGTCGATTTCGGATCCGCCGCTTAAAAAACCATTCAGACCACCGCACGTGTTAGATAAGTATCGATGTTCTGCAGGTTAATAGCTAGCATCGATAATGTATAGCTGTGGTCGATATTTAAAAATTATTCGATTAAGATTAACGAATAAACATTGCAATTAAACTTTTCATTCAGTTATGCAGTATATGAGTCTTAAGCAATAATTTAAAAAATGAAATAAATAAATGTTTAATTTATCTAAACATTCAAGCGTGTTTCCAAAGCAAAATATTGTCAATTTTATATCACTGCTCAAACATCGCATATTAAATATCGTAAGAATCGATATAGATGATTTACCCAATTGTTTATATTGATAACAATTTATTAGCGTGCTGTTTACATCGTACAAACTTTGTCAAAATGTTTAGATCCGATTTGAAAAAGCTTGAGCGTAATTCCTATAGATTTAAAAAAGAAGTGTCTGACCGCTCTAAGAATTGGGGCAAACAAAAGTTTAAGCCAAAAGCATTTGGACACGCAGCACCAGCGCCCATTGAACAGGAGGCCAAACCATGGCATCATGTGAAAAACGAAATTCTGGATGATGAACATGCACAACAGACCACCGGTCGCTTTGATATGCAAAGCCAAAACGCTAAAGAAATGGTAAAACAACGGGAACAAAATTACCGTCGCAATATAATCGAAACAGGTCGTAACGAAAAGCCCAAATGGGAATCGTTCGACGACAACGAATCGACGACCAAGAAAAGGCTTAATACTGCCGACAGAATAATGCAAGATCCCAAAAATTTGTCCTTTAAAGAACGCAATTTCTTGCGTAGAAAATTAACAAAAGCCGTGATGAACGAGAAAAGGAGCAGTCTAAAAAACGCCATAGAGAACCTACAACATAATTCAGGACTTGTAAGGTCGACAAATAAATTTAGAAAGTAATCGAAAATTGTATGAAAAAGTTTTGTTTGAAATGAGAAAAATTGTACAATACACAACATAAGTACACTACACACTTTATATAAATCATCTTAAAAATTAGAAAGGAGTATAATGTGAAATGGGGTCTGCAAAATAAATATATATATGTATGTAAACTAAATAGTATGCGATGTCCTCTCCTCGGTCTTCCTGCTCAACCATTTGCATTTGCCAATTTCGAAATTAGTTGATTGTATTTACTATTCGAAGTAATGCTCTTTTTGGAGTTGCGCACCTGTTCCGGCGTATGTTGTAAAAAGTAGATGACAATAAATTCGAGTGTTTGATTGGCTTCCTTGGGGTACATCATGTTAAAGGTATAATAGTAGCAGATCAATTGGGCAATTATATCTGGTATATCAGCATCTGAAGCTGGAAACGTGCTCATTATTTGCCCCTCAATGTAGACCATTGCATCAGTATGGGCACCCTCATCGCCAACAGATATGGGCGTATCTAATAAAGTGAATACATATTAATACAAAACCAAAGCGTTGATCGGGTATCGAAAGAACTTACTGACTAGTGCCACCCAAGGCGCATTGGTTGGATTGATGTGCTGTAGCACATCATCGGGCAAAGGTCCATGATCGTATTGCTTGAATATATAGTCAGGATCCTCATTGAAATAGTATGCCAGTCCACGCACCATATTCGCGTTGTTCTCCTCCAGGGCGTTCACTTTCTTATTTTTGGACATTTTAAAGAATTTGAACAATCGTTCCTTTTCACTGGCAAAACGCTTCTCTAATACACGCGGATCAATAGACATGAGCAATTCGAAATGCTGATAGAGCAGTGGCTTGTTGAAGATATACGGCCAATTATCCTTGATGGCCGTAATGTCTGGTATCTTTTCGCTATTGTTGAAGAAGGCGCGCTGCAACGGAAAGCATTCCTTCATATAGTCGTCTATGGTACTTTGCTCCACTTTGGCAGCACCACGATAGCTGGATATCAGCAAATCTTTCTTCTGTTCAAGATCACGATTCAATGCTAAAGATTTGGCATTTCCATTAGATGCCACTGCTCCACCATTTCCCGATTTACGTTTCTTACTGCTGCTACTGCTGGTAATGTGTAGATCAGCTGTGCTCGAGCTGGCTCGTTTTTGTGGACGATTTAACGCATTGTTACGATTGATCATTTTGGAGATGAGAGACTGTGGCGTCGTGGCAATTTGTTGGCCCTCCCGATCCTTTTCCAGCAATGAATCGGGATACTTTTCAGCCGCCTGCTGTGCGACCTCTCGAAATACAAGTATAGGTATATGTGAGGAGCGCTCGCGCAGTGCATCGACCAAGAGATTGGCCAACGCATTGAGACGCTTGCCCAGGCTCGTTTTGCCACGCAGCAACTTCATAATATCATTTGGTACCTTACTCCAAGGTATCGAAAACTCCTTAAAGGGCGCTGTAGATAACTTTGAATTGCTTGGCGTGACACTAGCCAGCGATAGAGTCTCGTCATTCGATACTGTTGAGTCATTGGCATTCGATACAAAACTGGGATCCAATGAGCTGCCCGCACGCTCTGAACGATTCAAAGGCGAGGGCGGAGGTAGTATAACATATTCATCGCTTTCCGCAAGCAGCATTAACAAAATCTTCTCCTTGGCTGCGAAGAGCAACACCTCATCTTCACATATCTCGCAGCCATTGCTTTCCAGTACTATGGTACTTCCAGCCAAGCCGTATTTGTGTGCTATGGAAAAGTGTGCAAAATAATTGTAAATAAAATATTAGTAACTATTCATGCACACTAACCTTTTTCAATAACATCCTTTCTGCTGGGCAATGACATGAATGTCTTTTTAATTTTACGATCGGCACTGCATATTGTTATTAAAACCATTTCACTGTTCATTTCCGATTTCGTTTTTTGCGCCTCGAGCACTTTTCCAGTGTCAACGTTGGAATGCATTTCTGTGTGTGAGAGAAACAACAATAATAAACAAATTGAAGTTGTGTGTATGTTGGTGCCGAATGTGTACACACTCTCATATATACTACGTACCGGAGCCTGTGGCTGTGCCCGTCGCTGTTTCAGATTTTTTTGCTGCTGTTTGTACACCATTTTCGTTTGGCGCAGCGGCCGCCGGGGCCGGGGGTTGTGGCTGTGGCTTTGCCTCATTTGCAGCATGCGGCGCTACAGCTGGAGCGGCATCCATGGCTAACAATTATAATTAAAACCCAAAATGCACACACAGCTTTCAATTTCAAATCGAGGCTTCTTCTTTTCTTTTTTTGTATAATGCCCGTGTATAAATTTGCACAAGCCAAACTGTGGCCAGGGATGTAATAAAACGCCACACATCGATAACTTTAGCGCGACTTTGGTCGCTGGCTATCGATAGCCGATAGCAGCACAGCGTAGTGGGTGGTCTGCGGCAACAGCAATCAAACGCTCATTTGTTGCTTTCGTCTGTTCGCGGCGCGTTTACTTTTTATTTTCACTTCTGGCATTTATTTTTGAATTAAATACTTTGTAAATTTAAATAAAACCAACGCGTTACTTAACGAGCATTGGCAACGCACCCACAAAAACGACGGCAAAATGCACTGATTGCGAGATTTCGTTTGGTAGGCCAAACAAGGCGCGACCGTCTAGACATTAATATTCACAAAGGGCTGCGCTTAATATATATATTATTAGAAAAAAAAATAAATCTCTTGCGACAAATACAAAATGCAAACGTAAGTATGCAAAAGGTGTCACAGCCAATTATTATATTTTGGTATATATACACGTATGTATATACATTTCTATCTACATATATTGAAATCTTCGTCTGTTTTCTTTTTGCTAGGAGCTGTCTCACTCTTTGTTGCCTGTTGCTGTCCAGCTGGCTGCCTGGCAGTTTGGGTAGCTTTAGTGCCACTAAATTGAATGCGGGTTCAGCTACAGTTAGCTCCATAGATTTGGAGCCTATCAATGGAACCATGAATTATCGATTGTACGGCAAGAAGGGCAAGGACGATAAACCCTGGTTCGATGGCCTCGACAATCGCCATATACAGTGTGTGCGTCGTGGACGTTGCCTGGAAGTGAATGGAACGCATAACACATGCTTCGGCTCCAAGCTTCCCTATGCACTGACCAGTCTCAGCTTGACTGACTATCGTAAGGAAAAGGAGTTGAACGAGGCTTTGGGTAGTTATTATGCTCTGCGACATGTACCCAAGTGCTGGGCTGTTATTCAGGTAAGAGAATCTGCGAGTTACCTGTATATGAGAAACTAATGCTTCGCTTTTGCAGCCATTTTTATGCGCAGTCTTCAAACCGAAATGTGAGGAAATTAATGGCCAGGATATGGTCTACCTGCCTTCATATGAAATGTGCCGGATTACCCTTGAGCCATGTCGTGTGCTATATAATACAACATTTTTCCCAAAATTTATGCGCTGCAACGAAACGCTCTTTCCTATGAAATGCAGCAACGATGCGCGAGAGATGAAATTCAATGTAACAGGCAAATGCTTGACGCCCCTTGTGCCGGCTGATAATTCAGCTAGCTATTATCCTGGCATTGAGGGCTGTGGCGTGCAATGCAAAGATCCATTGTATACGGATGATGAACATCGTCAGATACATAAGCTTATAGGGTATGGAGGTACGCTCTGTCTGCTCTCGAATCTGTTTGTGGTTGCTACATTTCTCATCGACTGGCAGAATGCCAACAAATATCCAGCTGTGATTGTGTTCTATATTAATCTATGCTTTCTCATCTCCTGCTTCGGGTGAGTGGACTCAAATTAAATTTGTATTATATTATCTAACATATATTTCCCTCCAGTTGGCTGGTGCAATTCACTTCTGGTTCTCGCGAGGATATTGTCTGCCGAAAGGATGGAACATTGCGTCACTCGGAGCCTGCAGCTGGCGAGAATCTCTCTTGCGTTGTCATCTTTGTGCTGGTCTATTACTTCCTAACCGCCTGCATGGTTTGGTTTGTCTTTCTCACCTACGCTTGGCATTGGCGTGCCATGGGCCATGTACAAGATCGCATCGACAAGAAGGGCTCGTACTTCCATTTGGTTGCCTGGTCACTGCCTCTGGTGCTCACCATTACCACAATGGCGCTCAGTGAGGTCGATGCCAATGGCATTGTGGGCATTTGTTTTGTTGGCTATATCAATCATCCGATGAGAGCTGGCCTGCTTCTGGGTCCACTGTGTGGCGTCATCCTAATTGGTGGCTATTTCATTACCCGCGGCATGATTATGTTGTTCGGTCTAAAGCATTTTGCCAACGACATCAAGTCAACTTCAGCGAGCAACAAAATTCATTTGATTATTATGCGCATGGGCGTTTGTGCTTTATTAACATTGATTTTTATACTAGTTGCAATCGCGTGCCATGTCACCGAATTTCGACATTCGAATGAATGGACAGAGAGCTTTAGGGAGTATATTATGTGCGTATTTTAACAGTATATCCTATATTCAAACTTAATAACAATAATTCTTTCAGTTGTCGCATCAGCTCCGTTTTTGATGAGAACAGCGTCTGTAAGATCGAGAATCGTCCAAGTGTGGGCATTTTGCAGCTGCATTTGCTTTGTCTATTCAGCTCTGGGATACTTATGTCCACCTGGTGCTGGACGCCATCCTCCATAGAGACCTGGAAGCGCTATATTAAAAAGTGAGTAGCCTCTCAAGCAAGTAGCTCTATAATATAGTAATACATCTTCATTTTCCTTTACTAGAAAGTGCGGCCAGGAGGTTGTCGAGGAAGTCAAGATGCCGAAACACAAGGTCATTGCCCAAACATGGGCCAAGCGCAAGGATTTTGAGGACAAGGGTAGACTCTCTATAACGCTCTACAACACGCATACCGATCCAGTTGGCCTGAATTTCGATGTAAATGACTTGAACTCGTCGGAAACGAATGAGATTAGCTCAACTTGGGTGCACTATTTGCCACAGTGTGTTAAACGTCGCATGGCTTTGACTGGAGTCACGGCTGGCAACACGAACTCCTCCAGTCAGGGTCATCAGGCTGGTCGCAAGAACTCACTAGACTCGGAGATTAGCGTTAGCGTGCGACATGTGTCTGTTGAATCGCGACGCAATTCTGTGGACTCTCAAGTCTCTGTTAAGATAGCTGAGATGAAGACAAAGGTGGCATCGCGCAGTCGTCAACATGGCAAGCACGGCTACGCGAGCAGCAGCAATAAGCGTACGCAACGACGTAGAGATTTCATTGCGGCCAGCAATGGACGTGGACGTGGACGCCGCGAGAGCAGCACCTCGGTGGAGTCACAGGTGATTGCTCTGAAGAAGACCACCTATCCGAATGCTAGTCACAAAGTGGGCATGTTTGCCCACAGCACCAAAAAGCACAACAGTACCAGGCGACGCAATGCGGGACTGGATCCGAGCATCATCAACGATTTCATACAGAAGAATGGGCAATTCATATTGCCATTCTTACAGAATCAAGGCATGACGACCTCATCAGATGAGGAGGAGAATTCGCGTGCCTCGTTCAAGATACAAGATCTCAATGTGGTTGTCAAGCAGGAGGAAGAGGAGGACGACGACAATGATGACGGACCTAAAATACAAGAGTTGCCCAACAATGGCAACAACTCCAAAGCCTTGGAGCACTTCCTGAAACACATGCAAAAGTCCAACGAATCCAATTGCAATGGCAATAGGCAGTCACGCAATTCTCAACGCAGTCGCAAATCACGCAAGGAGAGCAGCAAATCACATCGTGAACCGGAATTGGATGTCGACTCAAATAGCGATTTTAAGCAGAATTATGCTAGGCAGCTGGCCGCAGCTCTGGATGTCAATGGGGACTCGCTGAGCTGTTCCTCTGTGGAGCTGGACTTACCGGGTCTGGGATTGGGTGGCATGCTACATAGTTCCTACTCGGGCAAGTCGAATTCACGCAATAGCAAAACTAGCTGTGACGTGGGCATACAAGCGAATCCCTTTGAGATAGCCAATCATACGCTGCCCACCTATGGCAACGAGGAGCTGCAGCAGGCGATGCGATTGCTCAATGCAGCAAGTCGGCAGCGCAACGAGATTAACTGCGACGATGCGACCGAAATGCAAACTCTGCTCAATCCGCGACACCATCATGGCCATCATCATCATCATCATCACCATCAGAAGGAAGCWACGTTGTTGAGTGAATCGGATAAACTTAAAATGTTGCTGCTGCCATCCAAGTAGGGCAATGAATCGAAATGCATTTACTTAAATTTATAAACAACAACGAAATGAAAACAGAATCTTCCATAAGTTTACAAATACTCATAGCAACTAAGTTTACAAACTGCAAATTTTACAAAAACTCAGAGCACAATGCATTTACATATGTGCCTTGTATCAATGTATAATGACTGTTTCCTTAAACTAGTTTATAGTTTTATATAGTTTTTATATATAGCTATATTTAAATGTATGTTGTTTTAAATGTACAAACTGTCGCCCCTTTTGGGACAACGCACACATCGAAAGCGAACGAAATTGTATTACAAAGTGCCTAAAAAAACGTTTATATTTAAGCATTTGTAACTAATAAAACGATTTTAAATCCAAATACATTCTTTATTTTCGTTTGACTTATATTAAAGCTGCAGAGACAATGCTTACTTCGACTTGTGGCACTGACTGCAATTAGAATTTTTATGCATCTATTTTCTTGTATCTAGAAATAAATTCAATATAAATTAAATTGCGAACTTTGATGCTTGGAAAAGTGAATAGGGCAAAACAAAATTCAAATTAATCTACTTTGTCTTTGAGCTAAATCAACTAAGCTAAAATATTTCATTAGTGAAACTAAGAATATTGTTAAATAAATATAGACTGTTGAATTTAAAATATTTTTTAGATGTTTTTTTTTTGTTTGTGTCAAATATTTCTCAAGAAATTTAAATATATATAAACAATTCAATAAGTTAAATTTTTATTAATATTTTGTAATGCAAAGTTTATAAAATTAATCACGTGAAAAGTGCAAACAACTATGAACTAAAATGAAACCTAAACCTATATATGTGTAGAGTATTACATTTTTGACTAGCCCGAGACTCTCAATTAATTCAGCCGAGCTCACATCACCATCGATATTATATGGACAGCGAAAACTGTGCTCAGAATAATAATAACAATAATAATTCAAAACATATATTTATGAAAAAATAAACAAAAACTATTTAATTTGTTTGACTCTATAAAGTTTTGATGTTTATTGTTTGTATACATATGTATATGTATTTACATATGTATGTATATAGATAGAATACATCCCGCAGGGTTATATAAATAGAATACGAAACTGTAAACAGCGGTAATGCGTGACTATAAAAAAAAAATGAGCAGTCTTGGAAAACTTAGCGTACATAGAAATTGTTAGTTAGTACCTCAGGTTGAATAAGCTGAAACTCGCACAGCAGGTAGCTTAAACCAGCCAAGGGTCAGTTTTGTTACAGGTGAGAAATTACCTGGGAACAAGACTAGAACGATTTTAGAGAGAAGTCACACTTGGTTGGCAATTAAAGGCACATCCGCTGCGGAAGAAGACATTGCAAAGAGTTTTTTTGAGGCTGGAAATTTCAACTGGAAGGCTAACAGCAGATTATTTGTATTCCAGTAAACACACGCATACACGCACCTGCATATGTAGTTCATGTAATTGCTGAGTAGCGATCATAACAGAGGTGGAGTTAGCGAACAGCTGCTCATCACGTACCAGGGCTACATTATAAGCTTTTTTGTTGGGTGTGGCGGAGCACCCACGCAGCATCCAACAACAATTGCGTTGTACTTTCGTAATTGATTTACTCTAATTTCAACTGACATTTATGGCGCCAATATTTGAATGTTTGCAAAAAGAGAGTTTTACAAAATTAAGTTAAATTGATTTTATTTAGAGTGATACTAGAATTAAAATTTACAATTTAACGCAGGTAAGTTTTAAGTTATTTATTTTGCAGTGCTTAATTTGCATTTGATATGAATTATTAGGCAATTGATAAATTAATGATGCTCATCTAATATAAACAACGCATACTCGAATTTGCAATTTGCAAATGTGCAATCTAATACTTGAAACGCTATTTAGTCAATTTACTAAAGAGTTTACGTATAGCATTAGATATCAGCAATTTAATTAAGTTTTCAATTGGTGTAAAATTCATCATTTTTATTGACTACTTGAGGGGATTCTGTAAGACATACACAGCCTACTTGGATTTGCGCAGCGATAGTTTGACTTCCTTGGCCCAAACAACATTGTTGATGAACTCTCCGAGCAGATAGAGAGCAAATGTGAAGCCCAACACAGCGGCGAAGAATAGAATACGCTGTGGCAGCTGCAGGACCTCCAAGACAGGATATACCCAGACATTGGAGTAGTGTTTGATAATGTGTATCCAAACCAGATAGCTGCCCATAAAGATGGCGAGACCAGTCAATCCCTTGCTGCGTGTGGGATAAGCACGGTATGATGTAAACATCTCCAAGACAATGAAGACAACAATATTTGTATGCAATACATGATTGAGCCAGCTGCGAAAGTATATGACATAAAATAAATTAATAATTCATATAAATAGACAAAATGCAATTCTTTCTCACTCACCTGGGGAAGACAGGATCCAGCACCTTAGGGAAGACTAATTCACGATCGATGGCGTAGAGGGTCCAGAACGTTATGCCCACATTCAGGGCGACCGGAAAGGCCAGTGTAGACAGCAACCAATCCTTGAATTTCCGTATAGCGGGCGCTCGCCGTGGAACCAGCTCGTTTGTGCCCACAAAATCATTCACGAGGGAGATAACGTAATACAGGGCTTGTATTATCTGTAAGTGCAAAGAGATAGGCATGTTATTCTGATAGCTCAAAAGGGGGTTGATTAGCGGACAATTGAAGTGGAATGAATTGCAAACCGCTAAATCACTGAAGCTTGACAACAACAACAAAAAAGAACTCAAACCGGTTGTCATTACATGTTTAAATTCAAATTGGCCTAATGAGTTATAATAGCTGCTATTTAGACTCTTTTTTCGGTACCTTACCGCATTCAGAAACGTAAGATATTTGAACTTTCCACCAAAGGGATGATAGATTAATTTCGAATTGGGATCTGTTTGGGCTGGAAATTCAACGAATTTATAATCATAATATATGCCATAGGTGAATTGTACGGCAGCTGTCAAATGCAGCAATGTACGCAGTGCGCCAAAAACACTTTTGAACAGCGAGTTCGTTGCAGGAGCGTTTGTGGCCATTTTTATCAATTATATGTTTCTTTATTGCAATTAATTGATTTTTCACAACCGCAACAACAGCATCAACAGCAACCGGCGAGCAAAAAATTTATACTGAAGACGGTTGTACTGTTGTGTGCCCGTGGCACCCGAAATGATAAATTATCGATACTTTACAAGGATTTTTATATCGTTTTTTGCCGCATTTTGGGTGGCTGGTCACATTTGTAGTCTTTGGCGCTTTTTATTGAAACAAACTCACGATAGTGTGATAAAAAGCGTTACTTGGTACTTAAAGTAAATTGATGATTAAGAAACATGCTAATACTTGACTGATAACTAAAAATATTAATTTATTATCAAATAAATAATAACAAATTAGCTATTGCTTTTATGTGTTATCTAAGCTGAGACCACAAATCAGTATTAAATTGTTATCAAGTTGCAATAGGTGAAAGCTTTTATGTCATGGTGACTAAGCGATTGTGGTTAGAGATATGCTTTTAACATGAATTTTTAAAATATTTACTGTATAATTTCTCTATAAATAAGATTTTTTAGAGACTGCAATTTGATAGCAAAATTACCTATGTTTTTAACTAGCACTTGCACTTACCGCACAGAGAAATGTTAAGAATTTAAATTGCCCACCGAACGGAATAGAATTTGGTAATTCTAGGGTATGCAAATAGTAAATAGCATAATTAAATTGAATGGCAGCTGTTAAATGTAAAAGAAATTGCAATAGACGATAAAAAACTAGAAACGTGGAACGCTCATTCTTGGACTTGGATCTGGCCATGCTTAACACACAAGAGTTCACAATCTACTGACTTGTTGGCAGGTGAAAAACCTGCGACAATCATATATGTATATACATATACATTTATTTTTTATTTATTTATTTTTTTTTTTTTTAATATAAACATTAAATATTAATTCGTGCTATGTGGGTAACTGATAAAGTTCCTTATCAGCTAGGCAATAGTAATACGTTAGCATAAAACTGTAATTGAATCTTATTGGATGTAGATGCAGCTAATCAGCTATATATGTATACTTTCATATCAGTTACGTCTATATATGTATTAGTAGGTGACTTAAAGCACATAAAAGCCGTTAGAGATAAGCCCCTTTTGTAATTTAACAGACTGCACTCTAACAGCAAAGCTGTTATGTTAGCAACAAACGCAAACCAGGGCTGCAATTACACTCACCGCACAGATAAAGGTCAAGAATTTGAATTTGCCAGCGTATGGATGAAAAACTGATCTTGGCATTTCCAAATTATAGAAATAGTAGACGCCATAGTTGAATTGTATGACAGCCGTAGTGTGTAGAAGTAATTGTACAGCACGATTGAAACCTGGGGACGTGGAGCCCTTATTTTTGGATTTGGATCTTGCCATGTTTAACACTCAAAAGTCAATTTTATACTGATTAGCCGCAAATGCAAGCAACAAGCTAAGAATATATTTTATATATATGTACATACAGTTCAACATGTGCATATGAGCGACCCACTGATAACGTTGCTTATCAGTGGGGCAATAAAAACAAAATAGTGTTCAGAGAGCAAATTTTAGCTGAAGCAGAATTTGAGTGAAAATTAAATTTACTTTCACCTCTTCAGCATTAGGGCGACCACTGTAACTGTCATTCATGTTTACAAGTGGGTGGTGATATGCTATATATAGATTTGTCTAGTTGAACAAAAGCTATTGAGTATGCGGTTGTCGCAACTAATGCGAACTATCGATTGAATTTCGAGCTCGTTGGAAAGCCGCGTGAAGGTCAAGGGACAAACCCAAGCGATGTGACGCACCACTAACATGTATATTTAATCGCTATCCACTATTTAGATAAGCAATCAATACTTATATTTAAATTTTTGTGAGCATCGTGAGCATAATTAAGTTTAACGGTAATTTCAATGAATAGTGTGCAGGGAAGAATTGAACTAAATTTGTATACTCATTCACCAAAGTGAAATGAGTATATTGGCTTTTTATTTCAGAAGGAAGATTTGATTGATTCAAATATATATATTTATTATTCAATTTAATTTCTACAAACCTACTGGTGTTTCATTCATTTATTTATTAGAAGTAGACATATTATATATATATTTATTCCTTGGTTTCCGCCTCGTTCTCACTCTCGCCGTCAGAGGACTCCAAATTGATTTCAGTAAGCTCCTGCTCCTCCACGCTGCAGCTGTCCAGTTGTCCAGTTTCAACCTTGGCTGCCATTGCAGTTGTCTCCGCCTGCTCTTCAATGACTGCCACTTGCTCGGCTTGCTCGAACATGGGATTATCAAAGGCACGTTCACGCACCTCTTCATTCTCCGCATCATAGCCAATGACTGCCAGGCGTTCCACTGCACTACCACCTGCTCCACCCGTTCCCATTCCAGCTGTCACATTATCAAATCGATTGAAGAGCAAATGCTGCGGCAAACGCAAATCCAAGTGATGCCAACGCCAGCGCCTCGGATTGTGTATCCATTGCGGTATGCGATTGAGATACGGATTCTGTGGCATGAAGTGAGCTAGCCCAATCAACGAGACAGCGCCCACAAGCACAATACAGAACAGTATGAGCAGCACCGAGGCAAAGCTCACATTGGGATTATATGGATGGCCGGCATAGAAGATTTTCAGATTTTTCTGCTGAGCCAGAAATTTGCTTTGATTCCGTTGCGCAGCGAAACGTCTCATAAACTCCACGCTACGCTCGCTATAGCCATTTCGATCCACAACAATCGCCTGCAAGGCATTGCCAAATGCTCTGGAGCCCACATAGTTCACATGCAACTGCAGTTCGTCCTGCAGCTGCTCCTTGACTATAAAACTATTGATAAGGCCAGTCAAGGTCTTGCGATCCTCCTCTACGCAGTGCTCGCTGTTCACATGCATCATGGCGCCACAGACCAAGCAGCAGCCGTCATTCGTGCGCAATGGGGAGACGCAATGCGGCACCTCACACTGCGGCTCCACATGGGAGCAGACCAGCTCCAGCAAGTTTTCATAGTCTATGTGGCAGCCACATAGCTCACCTCTGTAGTACTCCACAAACACATTCTGGGCATTATGGAAGAGCAATTGGCCCAGATCTCTGCTTAGCAGCTCCTGCAGATAGTTGCGCGATATGGAGGAGCCCGCTAGGATGAGCTGACCCAAGCGAAGATACTCCACATTCTCCAAGTCAAAGGAGAGCGGACCGCTATTGCCACTGATAACCACATGCTCATCATCGCAGGGCACGCGATCCAGGTCGAAGTAGCTATCGATGGCTGAGCTGGAGGGGGAGGCGCTGTTGGGCTGGCCACTCCAGCTACTGGGATCAAACCATTTGCTCGTCTTGGCTGGCTTTAAGTAGGCGCGTTTCTCATCACTCTCACAATCTCTATTCAATCCCGAGCCCACCCCAAGTTGTATGGTGGCATCCTCTGCCAGCAACAAGCCACCCAGACGGGGCAGCACGAATCCTCCCACTGCCAACTCCTTGGGCAATGGCAGCACAGCCGGATAATAGCTGGGAAAGACAACCTTATCCTGGGCACAGGGCAAGTAACCATCCAGCCAGGCATCGGCATTATCGAAGGCGGCCCCAGCACTATGCCACTTGATGTTGGTCGTCTCCGCCTCCAGAGCGAGTAAAGCGAACAGCACTACAGAGATCCATTCCATCATTTTGACTGCTGGGCAAATTGTAGACTGAAGACCCACAATATGGGCTGATGCTACGACAGAGCTGTCATTAGTTTTGGGGGCGTTACTTCAGCTTCAACACAGCTTCAACAGACATATACACTAGCCAACAAAATTTGATAAGAATTTGAATTTTTTTTCATATCCTAAATTCTAATATCTAATTACGAAATCTTGAATTTTATATATTTTAGTAATCTAGGTATTTATCCTGCCCTCCGAATCTTTCGATTTTGTGTTCGATTAAATGTTGTTAGCCAGTGTTATCAATTAAGCAGTTTGTCATTCAAGCAGTCAGTCAGTCAATTTATTAGTCTTGCTACACATTAATTTAGACCCACAGCTATGAAAACCTAAACAAAATTTCAATTTCACATTTTTCAATTCCAGACGAAAATGAGCTACACAATTTTGGACATTAAAGAAATTTTAAACATTTTGAATATTTGATTTCCAACTGAGATCGATAAAAATATAGATAAATAAAATTGGAATTTGGGAATTGGGATTGCGATAACTGCCTAAGCATTTTAATGGATAATAAAAAAAATAAATTTGAAAATAAAACAAGTAAAAACAAGAGTTTCTTAATATTGTACTGCTTATATAGATAAATGCAGAGTATGTAACAAGTAATAAAGGGACAGTTATATAATAGAAATGATTCCATATGCTGTAATAATAAATTTCATATGGAATTTAAATACATTTAGTATCCTAATTATGGTAGTTCAAAAAATCGTCGACTAAATTTCATTTCTATTTTTAAATCCATAGATGAATTTTAATAAATTTGTTCAAGTAATAAATTGTTCAAAGCTAGCGAATGAGACGAACTTGTGCCCATTGCACATTTTCAATACATAAATATACCAATATCTATACACACATATACACTGTATTATAGTATAGCTGCTTTGCTACACATTCAGTCCGTATTAGAAGAATAGCGTTTATTTTGATTTTGATATAAACAATTGAAGTAAAGGAGAGGAAGGTATGCCAAAACAATAGAGGAATAGCAAAAATTAAAGCCGGATGGTAATCGTGCGTGTGCATGACCCGGCAATGCGATGTGCCATGGGTTCCACATGAAAGCCATTTGCTAAAAAAAAACACGACGAAACAAATAGCAAACAAACAAAATCCGAGTCCAAATCCGTATCCGAATCCACGTGCAGAGATATCTGCGAGTAGATGGAAAGCACTCTATCTCGTTTGTTTTTTGTGCTGAAGATCAAAGAATTTATTGAGATTATAAATCAAGGGCGACCAAGGTCGAACAAAATTAAAGATAAGCCTTAAAAAAACTTAAGAAAAGTTTCTTTGTTTGAAAAATCCTTGAACTTAAGTAGTGTAAAAGATGTTTGCGGGGAAGAACTAAGTCTTACGGAGAAGTTGAGAAAGAAAATTTTTAACAAAGAGATGGGCAGATTATTGTTCGTTATCGGTTAATGATTAAGTATGTATATTTTTCAGTGACGATTGGCCAATGGACTGAATCAGTAGCACTTTCAGTCAATCAGTTACGTAGCTCTCAATCATGGATCCATCAGTTAAGTAGCTAATCAATCAAGCATCGATAATTCAATCAATGCGTCAGTCAGAGTGTCACAAAAAACGCTACTGTATAATTAGATTTAGTTGCTCATCAAATTCAAATACTCTACTCGACAGTAAATGTTATAGTCAATCAGAAGCAAGCCATCAATCACAGACGTAAACAAAAACCATAATGAACAAGTAAGAAGGCTCTAGTCGAGACTGCTCGACTAGGAGATACCCTGAACCCTCCAAGCTGATATTCTAATCATTCTGTACTTTTTCTATGCACACATGCATCCAGACGCACGTATAACGAGCTCTGCTGCGCCAGCAGCGACTGCGCTTGGGCTGCGCTGCAGTGTGGGCAATATTATATGAATTTATTTGTTAAATAATTAAATTTTTAGACGTACAATCTTAATGAAACTTTCAGAACGTAATCATAGTGTATCCAAAGCACAAGGTTCTAGTACTTGAAATGCGTTTTTTACAAATTGGGAGCGAAGGGGGCGTGGTATAAAAGATCTGTAAATTACAAAATATTTGTATTCATTATATGTATATAGACAGTCTGAAGTCTCCAGGTCTAATAGTATTTCAATGAGGCTGAACAAACAAAATCAATTTTTCGATTACTCTCGATAAAAAAGTTATCGGATGATTTATCGAAAATATAAAGCACACTCGCACTGCGTATGGTATACACGAGTATGCGTGGCAAATTTCAGCTCTCTAGCTCCTATAACTTCTGAGATCGACGCACTCATACGGACGGACGGACAGACGGACGGTCAGACGGGGCTATATCGACTCAGCTCGTCGCGCTGATCAAGAATATATATACTTTGTGGGGTCTGCCATGCCTCCTTCTGCCCGTTACATACTTTTTCACAAAACCATTATACCCTGATTTCCCATTTTCAATGGGTTCAGGGTATAAAAATGTCTAATAGATATTATCAAACATTGCCGATTTATTTGCTTTCGTTTGCCATATCATCTGCGAAAATTCAAATCGATGATCGAATCGAATGCCCAAACTATTTTACGACATGTAAATGAGTTACTCCCGGGCAACACGCCCCAGAACGCCTCCCACAGCGCAGTGGGGCTGCCAGATAATCTGGCATCTATCAACGCCAATAAAATCGGCCACGAAGATGCTGGGGGCCTTTTGTTTTTGGACCAATTTGATTTGTGGCCAGCTTTACAATTCAATAAAAATGAAAATTAAAAAAAAAAATCTTTTTCTCTCATTGCTTTTACGGAAATTTCGCGCAATGAAAATAAATATTGCAAATTCTTTGCGAGTGTGTGTGTGTGTGTAACACTTTGCAGCGACAACAACTGAATGGTCGGATAATGAAATGAATGGCATTTAAAATGTATCTGTAAGACATGTGCATGGAAAATGTATCTGCAAGATACGCCAACTGCCCGCTTACAAATTGCAGCCAGTTGTTGACCCCTCAGCGCGAGAGGTGATTAAAAGAAACACAGGAAAAAAAGTAAAACGAAAATCGACACAGCAGGCAAATAAACAAACATATGGCAGACATAAATGGGAGACAATAATAAAAATCTGATTATACCCTGCAAACATTTGCGAAAGCGGAACAAGGGCAATCGAAACATGGGCTATCATAAATTGTGGTTGTTTCTTTGTTTTTAAAGAAGACAACCGACTTTAAATTTTAGAGCTATGGAATTAAGATAATATTATTGCATATGATATAATATTTGCATTATATTTGCTAATATCGATAAATATCGACTTTGAAAGGAAATCACAAGCGATTCGATTTTAATAGGACACCATTGACATAAAGATATATAGATGGAATAGTGGCTATAGTACGAATTTAATCATAATATCTAGAAATAGGTCATATTCTCGTCGTATATTCTCTGTTCCCGCAGCTCTACTTGTTTCTGTATATTTGAGCTGGAACACACTTGAAACGAATTGTGGCTGCGGTCGTCGTATTTCCGCCATTTCATAATGACCACGATTTATATATATTTGATATTATATATCATCATCTTGTGTTCTTTAACTTACCAGCGACCAATAGCTGAGAAATCGTAATTTTTGTGGAAAAGTTTCGGGCACCAGGCGACGACTGAAGCTCGTCTTTAATTTGTAGCTGCGTTGCACCTCAAAGCTACTGTAATACAGTCCATAAGCGAATTGGCCCAGCGCACACAGGTGAATGATTGTCACAAAGACACGCGATTTATAAAGCTCCACTTTGGTCATCTTGTATAGCTCTGAATATATATAGTATATACAGAATTTTACTTAGCTTTACTTCAACAAGGGTCTAGTTGTTTTTGGCCAAATATCCAGCAAACACTTCAATTTTTGTGGCTTGAATGAAAACTGAAGATGAAAATTGTAAGCAAACTTTAGTCGGGACTGTCCCACTACGAGCTACCCTGTACCCATAAGATGTATAATTAAGCATATATGAGCTGAATCTGAATAGAGATTTGTGTGTTTCTCAAGTCCTCAAGGAAGAAAAAATGATTGAAACGTGGTCAAGTGAATGAAGTTTCATATGATTTGAATAACAGTTCCAAGGTTAAATCTTCCCAGAAACATTTTTAGATACTTTAGCAAACAGCCTCAAGTACAAACATATCTTGCTCTGGAATATATGAGCTTCATGATTCCTATTAAACTTTCCTTGTCCATCGCAAGTATTTTATTTGAAGCATACCCTGTGTAAGCATTTCCCATGGGTACAACTGTTTGCGAACCACAAAAAAACTGAGCAAATAAAGCAAAGGTGTTCAAAGGTGTCGTAGAAGCTAAATGTCTAAGCGTTAGGCTTCTTAAAGCTTGGCTGCATACAAATTTGAAATCAATATTTGACATAAATATTTAAAAACGAACAATAAGAATAACACATAAAAAACGTTAAATTGGTCTAATGGCAAAAAAAAAGCCTGAAAAGTGAAATTTCAAAATGCATAAACAAATGCTTAGCAAACCACATAAATTGATGAGAATTTGCTGGGCGATGTTTATAATTTTTACATATGTTAATAAGGTAATGGATTTTATGGCTAGTTGTTGATTGTTTCAATCGTTTGAATTTCGAAGCAAATCTTTTTTTGCGCACACGACAGACAACACGCACGTAAATTTGGATTTTCTATATAGTTCACTTTTTATTCTAGTTTTTTTTTTTTTTTTTTTTTTAATTTTTTATTTTGGCTGGTTTCTAGTTTATTTGTTACGCGCAAAGAACTGCGCGTATGGAAAACTGGAGTCGTACTGGCAGATTGTATGAAAATGTTGCTCATTCGCCGCATTGGCTCGATGTTGCTTTTAGTTGCGTCCACATACACGCACACATACAACACACTTGTGTACTTGTGCTGTTGCTTCGCATTGCGTGCAGCTGATGCGCATGTCCAAAAATTGTATATATTTTAGTTGTGTTACCCGTGGCAGTCGCCCAGCATTTGTTTGACCAAACATAACACTTATGTGGTATCCATGTATAGACTAAACAATCAAAACCATACGCAATACTGCGGCAAAAATCACATTTTGTCCCGCAGATAACGGCTTGTGCAAACAGACATATTTAAATCGACAAGCAAATGCGCGCCCTTTGCAATATCGTTATCGCAGGCTGTATCAAAGCAGCTGTTTTATGCTGCAGCCCTGGTCGTTTGTTATGTCTATCGACAATTTTGAGCACAATTTTATCATTTGATGAATTAACTCATATTTCTTAATGGAAACAAAAACATAGTATTTATATAAATAGGCCGCAAAATACTCATATAAGTAGAGTGTTTCAAGAACCGCACAATATATAAATCTGTCGCGTTTTCTTCATTTCTCTCTATTTCTCGAGAAGTTACAATACATCAGAGTCATGTCGTAACAACTACTTAGACATATTGAATAAAATTTGTATCAAAATTAAATAGCCAACAATTAGATAATCAATCAACAAAAATGTCGTTAGCATCTAAAGTGACATTAGGTTTAGCTGTTTGCGTTTCCACCGCCATTATAGGTTATGTTCACTATAAACAATCGGACGACCGGCAAGTATAAAGAATTCTTCAATGAAATTAAGTATTAATAGTAATTGGTTTACAGTAACAAACTACATGAGGGTGTTTTACGTGACGTAGAGCAGCAACAACGACGCAAGCACGAAAACCGTTATGCACTGCAGCAACAAATCGACATGACCAAACAGTTAAAAGCAGCGCGAGAAACGGAGACGAAGAAAAATCCGGACGTATTAGATACATAAACAACGAAAATGCCGGGGGCACCGGATCCAGTCTCAAAGCTGTCGTCACTTGTGTTACAGCAATCAATATGTGAAGCGCGCCAAATACAGCATTTTTATACACACAATTCACAATTGTTATTCTTTGTCTATATAATCTTTATAATTAGTACTCAATTTTATTATTACGAATGTGTGTATAAGTAATTACAATTCTAATGGGCGCTCGATAAAATAATTCACATTGTGTCACGGTTGGTTTGTACATATGTGGTGGACACCCCTTACTAAATCATAAAAAAAAACAAAAAAGGAGACTGCAGAGCTTTGAAATACACGTTAGTTGGCGTTCTTTGTCCGTCCTCTCTCACTATGCCACCAATAATGTAGTTGATAGAACCGTCCGAAGTCCAAACAGAATTTGGACCATTAATATCGACCTCCTCCTCCTTTACGTCTATCGCGATCGTTCCCATCACGATCGTTATTACGATCGCCTCGATCCGTTCCACCTCCGATGCCACGCTCGCCACCACGATCCGTGCCACCAACAATGCCGCGCTCGCCGCCACGATCAGTGCCGCCGCCGATGCCACGATCTTCGCGTCGACGGCGCGGCGACCGGCTTCGTGATCGTCGTCGCGGTCCACCGGAACGGGAGCGAGAGCGCGAACGATTACGTCGCCGGCGCGAATAAAGGTACCTCCGCAACTCTCTAGATATGGGCTTCAGGTGCATAAAATTGCAAAAGCCGGAACGTGTGCATTCACCCATTTCGTATTGTCTGCAGCAGGCCTCACGGAAATCGGTAACCGGCGACAATTCCGAATAAACAGGTCGTCCGCCAAACCAGCGATTGTTCAAATCATTTGCCGCCTTTTCGGCGTCGGCCTCATTGCGGAATTTGATGTACACATTGCCAACTAAATGGTCACCTAAATTATCGCAAACGTTCATCTCCTCAATTTCTCCATATTTGTCCTCGCACTCGACGAAAACATCCTCAAAGAAATTGTCATAATGCTCCTGCATTTCCTCATCGGACACATTCGCTACCAAATGTGAACCGTCCGCCGATTTCGCTGAATTTTGAGGATTTACGTAGAGATTTTGCAGCAACACCGTTTGCGAAAATGTCGGCTTATTGTGTATGCGTGAACAGCGGTCGCCATGCCGGCACGCTCCGATTTTAAAGTAAAACGAGCAGTTGACTCTGCAATATGTAAATCGTTTGTTATTAATGTGCCGGAAAATGTACAGAAGGTACAACTGCAAAACATGCGGACCCCTGCTTTATTTTTTCTTTTTTTTTTTATTACTTACTTGTCCTTTTCTGTGCCAAAAATAGATGCCAAATATTCGGCCATCACGTTGATACGGTATTGAGCTGCTGTTTAAAACGATTAGCCTTCCTTGCGTGCCGTTTGCAGCGAAATTTGTTCAATGCCGTATTTTGTATATATTTTGACAAATTTGTAATATAAATTTTTCCAGGCGCACGCAAAAAGCAGCGTCTGTCGTATTCTGCTATAGCGTTGCCAGCTTCAAAATTAATTCAAGCAAGTCGTTCGGCGCTGCCAACTGAGTTTTCAAGGGAAATTTAATAACAAATATTGACAGGAAATTCAGTTTTAAATAATTCACATATATATTTAGTTTTGATTGCTTAAATAATTATAAGAATTGAACAATTCTGACTGTATTTCCTTAATTAATATATATTGTATTTTCTTACCAAAATAATATCCGGCAGCGCGCGACCTGTTACAGAGAGTGTTGGCAACGTTGCGCGTCTGACATTTGTGTGTGAGAGAGCAAGTGTGAGATTGCGAGAGCACGAGAACTGAGCGAATATTCACGACTCATGCATTTCTAGAAAAGTCCGACAGCGGCATTTTTGCATTTTCATAAGCTCACAACTTTGTGCGGTAAACGGCGTGTTTTTAGCAACATTAAATACTTTAAACGGTTAAAAAGCTCTTAATTAAAAAAAAAGAAGATAATTGAAGAAAAAATGGATAAGGTGCGTATTAGAATAGTTAACAAACAAGCAAAACGATTCTCATATATGAACGTTTCCTCTGCGGTCAACTACAGGTGAACGAACTTAAGGAAAAGGGCAACACAGCGCTAAATGCTGAGAAATTCGATGAGGCTATTGCTGCCTATACAGAAGCCATCGCGCTGGACGCCAACAATCATGTGCTCTACAGTAATCGTTCTGCGGCCTTCGCCAAGGCCGGAAAATTTAAAGAAGCTCTCGAGGATGCTGAGAAGACGATCTCTTTGAATCCCACTTGGCCCAAGGGCTATTCACGCAAGGGTGTTGCGGCCGCTGGTCTCCGCGACTATATGAAGGCTCTAGAAGCCTACAACGAGGGTAAGTTGTGTTACATATGCTGATTTACTTTGACCTCTCCCCAACATAACCTCACTTGTTTTTTTGTGTGTTCCTCAACAAGGTCTGAAGTATGATCCGCAAAATGCTATTCTTTTGCAAGGTTGCCAGGAGATCACGGCAGCTGTGCTGAATATGATGCAGTCTCGCGGTGATATTCCCATGGACGTTGATCCTCAATCGGGCAGTTCGCCCTTTGAGAGGAAATCGCAACCGTCCAAGCCGGCAGAGCCCCCCAAGCCGGCTGAGCCGCGTGTGGAGGACATGACCGAGGAAGAGCGTAAAAAGTACTTTGCCAAGAAGGAAAAGGAGCTAGGCAATGCTGCTTATAAGAAGAAAGATTTTGAAACTGCCCTCAAACACTATCATGCAGCCATCGAGCACGACCCGACTGACATCACGTTCCATAACAATATTGCGGCTGTTTACTTTGAACGAAAGCAGTATGAAGAGTGCATCAAGCAGTGCGAGAAGGGCATCGAGGTGGGACGTGAAAATCGTGCTGACTTTAAGCTAATTGCAAAATCCTTGGCTCGTATCGGCAACACCTATCGCAAAATGGAAAACTATAAGCAAGCCAAATTCTATTATGAAAAGGCCATGTCTGAGCATCGTACCCCGGAGATAAAGACATCGCTCAGCGAAGTTGAGGCCAAAATTAAGGAAGAAGAGCGACGTGCATACATTGATCCAGTTAAGGCCGAAGAAGAGAAGGAAAAAGGCAACGAGTACTTCAAGAAGGGTGACTACAGCACTGCTGTTAAGCATTATTCGGAAGCCATCAAACGTAATCCGGATGATCCCAAGTTGTATAGCAATCGTGCAGCATGCTATACAAAATTGGCTGCATTTGATTTAGGCTTGAAGGATTGTGATACTTGCATTAAGCTCGATGAGAAATTTATCAAGGGTTATATCCGAAAGGGCAAGATTCTGCAAGTAAGTGTACCTCAAATACATAGCTTAGGTACAAATTATGATTATACTACTCGATGTTTGTTGTAACAGGGTATGCAACAGACCTCTAAGGCTTCAGCCGCGTATCAAAAGGCCCTAGAATTGGATCCAAATAATGCTGAGGCAATCGATGGCTATCGTCAATGCTCAATGAATTTCCAACGTAATCCACAAGAGGTGCTTAAGAATGCCATGTCCGATCCGGAAATACAACAAATTCTCAAGGATCCGGCCATGCGCATGATACTCGAACAGATGCAGAACGATCCAAATGCTGTTAAGGAGTAAGTTTTCAACTTAAAAAAAAGAAAGAAAGAAACTCTATTTCTCCTTTCATTTGCAGACATTTACAAAATCCGGCTATTGCAGACAAGATAATGAAGCTACTGGAATCAGGCATTATACAAATACATTAGATTACAGAAATGAGAAGAAAAGAAAGTAACACAGAAAAGCGTTCAGGATATACATAAAACTAAACAATATGCATAACGAAGTAAAACTAATGCCCTGCCACAAAAAAATCTAAACATGTTGAACCTTAAAATATAATGTAAGAAATTACCTTGAATATCACCGCTAACGCTGACATGACTATAAACTAAACTAAAGCAGAGAAAAAAAACAAACAAAAAACAGTTTAAATGCAAAAGAAAACTTTTGTTTTAGAATATATATATTTAACACATATGTATGTACATCTGTTTAGTTGATTTACGCAGGTTCTGCTCTGGTTCTTTTTTTCATACTACATAAAATGCTGTAGCTTAGACATCTAAATAAATAAGTTTCTGAATGTAAAATAAAATACAAGTCAAGGAATGGAAATTGTATGTTAGAATATCTCACATGCTCAGAAGCTTCCTAACTCGCAATTTTTCTGCATTTCCACGTGCAGCACCTCCTTTAAGATTATATACATATAGTCGGGAAATACAGACGGTACGTTCCAAAGTAAATAAGAATTTTTCAAACTGAACACAATTACGTTTTTCATTTGTATAAATTTGTATATGGATATAATTTCATATAATTAGACAAATTACCTAAATAAAGTTGCAGTCGTGCAACCAAATGCGACAATTTTTAACGGACTAAAAATATTTTTATTTTAAGTACAAGTAGCGATGACCGTTACAAACTCAAAATATACCAACAAAATATACTAAATTGGAAATGCGGTCAGCAATCCGCATAGCTCGCGGTATTATTTAGTGCGTTTCACAAAAAGGTGTTGAAAAGCGTATAATGGCCGCAACATGCTATTCAGTGCCAGTGCCAAGCAGTGTTGAGGACGATTTCTTCCACAAAAAAAAAAGAAATGGTGTGCTTGCTGATTGTGATTTCAATATAATAAATAATAAGAAAATACAAGTAATACAACAATACAAATTAAAACGATTTGATTACAACGAATAAGAAGAAAAGTGAAGGCCTTTTTTAACTACCGATTCCTACACGCTGTTAATTGTTTTAACTATAGTTTATATGTATATATTGTGTGCATGTGTGAATTCGATTGTGAGCGTGTGTGTGTAGAAGTGTGTGTTTGCCTGCGAGTTTCTCAGTTGATTCGCGAAATTGAGAATAGAAAGATGGTGCTCGCTAAATTGTAAGCGTGAAATAAGTGATATATAAATATACCAACAAAAAAAAATACACTCTTTTGGGCAACAAGAAATCTTCAATTAATTGTGGGCAACAACGCAAATTCAAAAGTGAGTATAGAAGAAAAACAACAACATAAAAAGGGCTGATGCCTAACGTATTCGCTTTTCAAATGCGTTTCGGGGGCGCTTGGCAACAAGCAAAAGCCGCTACACGCACACATACATCCATACGCAAGCATGTAATACTTGTCCGTGTGTGTGTAAAAGTGTAAAAATATGCATGTGTGCGTGTGTGTTGGTTTTAAGCAAACTAAAATATGATTTCGCCCTACCCCAATTTTGAATGTGTTTTCACTTATATTTTATTATTTTTTAGTGCATCCCTCGCCGCTGCATTATTCAACGATGAGGCCACAGGCGCCGGCGTCTATGGCAAGAGATTCAAAAAAGGATGAACTGCGCTCGGCTCCCTGGTATTGGGGCAGCATATCGCGCGAGCAGGCAAAAAACAAATTGTTTGGCCAACCGGATGGAAGTTTTCTAGTGCGCGATGCGCAAGCAAAGGTAGCTTATTAATACAAATATACATATTATTATATTAA